GGGGGAGGGTCAGAGGGAGAAGCAGACTCCCTGTCGAGCAGGGAGCCCGATGCGGGACTCGATCCCGGGACTCCAGGATCATGACCTGAGCCGAAAGCAATCGCTTAACCAACTGAGCCACCCAGGCGCCCCAGATAATAAAATTTTATGGACAATTCTGCACTTCACCTTATTTAAGGGAAAAAGGAGAGGAGATCTGCTATTACATGGCCCTTCCCATCTTCTAAGAAGTCTGATAAGAGCTATGACTTTGTGCAGTTGGATGTATCTTTTCCTCTGCTTTCCCATTTGTGTGTGTGTGTGTGCACGCGTGTGTAAAAGAGACACAGAGAGACACAGAGAGAGAGGAGGGAGGGAAGGAGATGAGCAGATGGTCAGAAATACACAGTAGTAAGAACGAGTAAGAGAGTCACCATCTTACATTTTGATAACGACATTTACATGATACAAATAAGAAATGTTGAACAGAAACCACCATTTGGGTTCTGAGATGCCTTTTCAGATTTTCTAGCCCTTACTTGGGGATTTGTGAGCCTGCATATAGCTGCGACATCTGGCTTCAACATGTCCAAACAGCACAGATGTAAGAAGACTGAATCATTTAACTTCCCCCCTCAACTCCTATTGGGGCTACTTTTGATGAATAATTTATCCCCCATAAACTGCCACATTTGAAAGCATAATTAACAAATAGGTTTTCTTAATCATGTTGGCTTTGTTACTTTTGGTTTTCATCCATGCATTCTTTTGTTCTTTTACTTTTTCTTTCATTTTTAAAAAATAACAGTTTCAATCCATTCAAGCTAGCAAGTTGGCAGTGTATCTGGAAACTAATAATTTATGTCTGTGCAAAACATGTATTCATCATTCTTTGATAAAAGTGGGTAAGAGATTGGCTGTATAAAATGGTTAATGATGATAATACGACTGTTTTTAAGATTTTAACTATGTGCATCTGTCACACCCAACATTGTTTTGTTTATTTATTTATTTATTTGCCCTGAAAAATCTAAATATTAAATTATACTCATTTTTTTTTTACATGGGAAAGTGATGGGGTACATTGCTGATACCTGATCTCCCATAAGCTGAAAAATAGTTCCATTAAATGTGAATAGCGTACATTTCTGTAGCAATAACTTAAATTTCAACAAGCTTTCTGAACGTGGGGAAGTGCCTTAACTTCCCTGGTCATATATATGTAAAAAGAGGAGGTTAGGAGGAGACACTCTGTAGTTCAAAGCATTTGTAGTTAATTTGGAACTAAGTTAATTTTGACTTTTAAGTATTACAATGAAACTTAAATTCAATTATACGTTCTTTTTATTTTTTAAGATTTTATTTATTTTTTTTAGATAGAGAGAGCAGAAGCAGGGGGAAGGAGAGGGTCAAGCAGACTCTGAGCTGAGTGTGGAGACTGACATGGGGGCTCGATCTCAGAATCCTGAGATCATGACTTGAGCCGAAACCAAGAGTCAGGAGCTTAACCGACTGAGCTACCCAGGCACCCCTCAATTTATACATTCTTTATGTTTATTTTTGAAGCCTGAGAAATTTGTTCTACTTTTATAAATGCTCTCAAATACATTAAATTGGGACTTCTATGTAATTAAACCTTTTTTTATAATTAAACTTTTGAATCACATAATACAATCCTTGTGACCACAAACTAAAGTATTACAAATGACTTTTAAAATATAATATTCTTCTTTTGTATCACATTAGACATGCATGCTAAGTAAGCTTCAGAAGATACTTGCATAATTGCATTTTTAGATAATTGCCCACCCCGATGTTCTTCTGGGAAACAGGGAACTTTTTTACATTCAGACCATCAAGGATAATTTGAAAACAGTACAAATAAGTGAGCTTTCAATCACTTCCAAGTTTGAGCAGGATGTCTAAGTGGCGTACACCACAAATGTCACCTAGAAATATCAAATACCGCGTGGTCCCTGACAGCCATCTTAACATTTTCTTTGAACTCCTAGATTCACTTCAGGCGTGTGTGTTCAAGTTTTTATCAGTGTTGTTCAGGAATATGAATTTTCCAGAAACCTATTATCTTAAATGGTGGGCACTTATATGGTAATTAGGTAACATTATGTAGAGAAAACATTTGTAGGCTTTTTATATCATCTATAACAATATCATTTATCAGGCAAAGGTCAGATAAAGAATAGGAGCCTGAGACTGTTTTTCCAGCTCTGCCAGAAGCCGCATTTATCCTCTGAATCATCACCCAATTATTGTTTTCTTCATTTTCTCATTTGTGACGTTACATTACTTTCCCATGGTTGCCATGAAGCATAAATAATAAAAATTTACTATAGAAGTGCTGAAAATCTAAACTGTTGTTGGGAAGACATGAGAAGAGAGCTAACTGCACGTTTAAAAATAAAAATAATGGGACCTGTTTCTTTTTTTATGCTTTTGAAAGAATGAACGGCAGCCATTTTAAGGATGAGAAAGCTTTGGTGACCAGCCAAAATTCAGATTTACTGGATGATGAAGAAGTAGAAGATGAGGTGTTGTTAGATGAGGAGGATGACGACAACGATATTACTGGAAAAACAGGAAAAGAACCAGAGACAAGCAATTTACATGAAGGAAACCCTGAGGATGACTATGAAGAAGCCAGTGCCCTGGAGATGAGTTGCAAAACGTCCCCAGTGAGGTGAGCACCTGGGGTGACATTAGTAAATAAGTAGGAGTAGATACATATATGGTTGCAATTCCTTCTGCTCTGTTTTTCCATTAGGGCAATATTTCAGGACATGGCATTTGATGAGTAACGAATCATCAAAAGTACATTTGAATTAGCCAAAGGCATATTTGGTGGATTCATTTTGAATAGGTGAAAACAAGGTAGCCGTCAACATAATCCACAAGAATACAAATGCATCGGTATTTGTGGAACCTGATTAACCTGAAATGGGAAGAATAAATGAAAATTAGACGAGTACCCAATCATTTATTTAGACTCTACCTGTAAAACTCCAAGAAAAATAGAGATTTCAACATTACCTAATTCATTCAAAAATCTGGTACGTTATTAGTCAAACAGCAAGATAAATTTCACTTAATTTGATATGTATGTAACCTCTACAGGTAGGTTTTTAAATAGAAAAAAAATGAACCAAATAGTTAAATTTATAGGAATATTCTATTTTCGTATGGAGAGTGGGTGCTCACTAAATATTATCATCACTGACTTTATTTTAAATGGACATTATAAACCTACAAATTGTATCTCCACTGCATTGCTGACTCCACATTGTTGACTTTAACTCTGCCTCTTATGTACACTTGATTTAGTTATGAAGAGTCTTAAAACAAACATGTTTTTAAGATACAGTATATGTAGACACTTTAAAGAACCCAGTAATGAATGCATGCTTCTTGATACTGCAAATATAATACGAAGTTTGACAGCTGTATGGATTCAGATGAAAAGTGATTTGGTTGGATAACAAACTGAGAAAGAAAAAAAAAACCCTCTGTGCTTTCCCATTGGTTCATTTTAGGTATAAAGAGGAAGAATATAAAACTGGACTTTCTGCCCTAGATCATATAAGGCACTTCACAGATAGCCTCAAAATGAGGAAACTGGAAGATAATCAATATACTGAAGCTGAGCTGTCTTCTTTTAGTGCTTCCCATGTGCCGGAGGAACTTAAACAGCCGTTACACAGAAAGTCCAAATCACAGGTACATGTTCTCCTGCAGCACAGCATCATGGCAACATCGTGCCTCGGGCGCCAAAAGGCAGATAGTCTCTCTGGGCAATACTCTAGAATCTGAACAGGTTCAGATGCTTTACTCAAAATGTTCCTACCTTGACCCTATGACCAAATCCAAAATGGTTAACCAATGCAGTCGTGAACATGGCTGCCCTCCGCACAGAGGCTTCCATGAGAAACCTTCTCCTCCAGTAGCTTTTCCTTTACTTTGCAATCTCTTCCTTCTGTAGAGATAGTCCATAATGTTTGCACCTATTTCTGTATGACTTCAGAGTGATTTTCTAATTTCTTTGCCTCTGTAATTCTTGTCAACCTAATTATATTTCCAGACTTCTGGAATGTGAATCCTGCCTTCCATTTTTTTTGGTCCCTTATTAAATGTAGTTAATTAACAAGTCATCTAATTATAGCTTTTAGGAGTAAACTGAGGATCAGAGATGAAATGGGTTGCCCAAAGTCTACAGCAACTTACTGGCAGATCTGGAAATAAAACTGATTAAGTTTTAATTGAATGAATGAATGAACAGTACCCACGTTCATTGGGCTCTACGGCATTCTGTCAGCACTGTGAAAACAAAAATAAATCCATTTAAGGATCTGTAAATACCAATTAAAAGAGCCTCACTTGTTTTATCACAAAATAAAGGAGGTCAGTATTTTCTGGTGACATCCCTACTCAACCACATTGTTCATTTCACTCAGGTCAATCAAAAAAAAAAAAGAAGAAAAGAAAACTTCTTGTTATTACCATATTTCTTGGTCACTTTGGTCTAATGGATCATGAGCCCATTTTGTAGGTGGCCTGACATAGCAGACCACGTGACTGCATTGGCTTGTACATTTAGAAATGCTTTCCTGTTTGGCTGAGATGTTTTGGCCTTAGCCATTTGCTCTTAGCAGCAAATGTGGTCATATCTCAACTAAGGTGGGAAAAACATTGTGCTAGTGGGATAGTACCAATTCTTAACTCTCAGTCAATTCAGTAAAAATCTAAGGTACCATGGGTGGTAATAGGCAAGATGAATGTTCTTTTTGCGTTGAAGTAAAAGAAGCCGCCCCAGCACCGGAGTGGCTAGCTGCATGAACTTTAAGAACATCACTTCATGACTGCGGGTACCACTTCTTTGTAAAGTGGGGTGACTGGAGGCCATATCTAAGATCTCTTCCTGCTGTATGATTCAATGGGGATCAAAATTAATTTTTCAGTTTCTAACATTAAAAGTAAATTAGCCAGAGTAGACATCTCATTTTTACCTGGACATAACCGGTTATTAGAGGTAGCGAGTATTTTTTTAAAACCCTTGTTATCCCATTCTTCCTTCCTAATTGATCAGAGAGTTACTGGGGGATTCAGGCTTTCCTTCCTTTTTTTTTTTTTTTTTAAATTTCTTTTAATTATTCCACCAAAATGCTTATAAGACACAGTACCTAAAAATTCCTGAAGCTGTCAGGAATGATTGAAAGCAGAAGGGTCAGAGAACCCAGAGATAACAGATGTGATCTATTTCAGTTCCAGCATTTTGACATAAAATCCCTGCCCAGCTGGACTAACAATTACCATCACAAGAAATACTAGTGTATTTCTCGTGTTTTTCGTGCTACTTGATCATGTCATATATATCAGTTTAAATATGGTCAGGCCTTTGTGCAAACTAACTTTATTTCATGAGACTTTTTATTCATTCATTCAGTTGTTATTCACTGTCAGTGATGTGCAGGGAGGTGATCTTTGTGCATGAAAATGTTTATTTTGTTTGATTACCAAAAGGCAAATATTCTATATTTACCATTTTCTAGAATCTGAGTAGAGATAGATGACTTACTCAAACATTCATATATTTACTGTGTGATTTTTATAGTGACTGAATCCAAGATAGTTGAACAATACAACAGTGGCTGCATTCGGCATAGAATCCTCTTTGAAAGTTCCCATCCCAAAAATTAATTGCATGATAATGGGTACTATTTATGTCCGGCACTCTATGTTAGTTAGCGCTTGTAATTCCCTCACAGCCCTTGGAGGCAAGTTTTTGTTATTATGATCCCCATTTGGTAGGAGGAAAGTGACCTTGAAAGGTTAAGGAACTTGCCCAAGGTCACACAGCTAGTTGAAGAGAGGCCGGTTAGAAGCCAGGAGTCCAAAATTTTCTCTAGGATTCCTTTCATTTTTCCAAATATTGGAATAGGTTTTGTTAAAACCATTTCAGAATACTCTTTATCTTGATCTCTGAAAGTGGGTACCTGATAAGAATAAAGTTCAGTGCTCACCTCACTCATATTTTAAACTCTTCAAAGGACAAGGACTATATATTATCTTATCATTGATTCCCTAGGACCTAACACAGTGCCTGGCAGAGAGTAGATGCTTAAGAGATATTTGTTATATGTCTGTTGAGATTTTGTAGAAGGCAAATTGCATACATAAAAGTCAAATGTGTACACTGAGAGCAATGACCCAGCAAATCACAAGCAGCCTACAAGAGCAGATTTTCTAACCGAATGCCATGATTACGGAAGAAACCACAGATTGGCCACATGTCTCAGCATGACTCTCAGAGATGAAATTCTGCTTAACAACAGAGGCATTTTGTCTTTGTTTACAGACAGTGGAATGTCTTTGGCAGGACTTTAATGATTCCACTGCAGCAGCGTTTTGACAAGCAAGTTTAGCAGTGGATGAGACCAACAATAGCAAATCAACAGTGAAAAGTTCACTCACAAGTCAAGACCAAACATTTCATTTGACTATTTTACTTGGCAGCAAATGGGAGATTCTCTGAACAGTTATTTAGAATTGACATGATAATAGGGAAGAAAGATCACTTCTTCACAGAGCACCACCATGTACCTTCTGCTTGGCAGACACTGGAGTACAAGTTGGTTAGAACGTTGTTGGGTCTTGTGTTGTGTTTTACTTTTTGGTAGAGCTGACTTGATCTACCTGAGCTCGCAAGGTCTTTGGGTGTCAGCTTTGAATATTTCAAACACAGAGGGAAACCAGAGAAAGGACACTGGATTCAAAGTAGGGCAGAAATCAGTTGTGCTTCTGCCTCCTCCACTGTCTAGTTGAGTGACTTGGGGCCAGTTGTGTCACCTTCAGCTCTCTCTGTTATAAAGTGCAGGAATCGGTGGGACTGTGTCCTCTGCTAGGACCCCAGTGCCATCAAGGCAGGTCTATGTCCCATTCGTATTTGCAGTTTCGGTCATAATATTTTTGGTGACTTGAGCAGGTGCACGAACAGTGGATGGATGACGTATTTATGGGGTGACTCGTGTTTCTCAGTGGAGACGCTATTGACATTTTTGGTAGGACAATTCATTTTTTTTTTTTTTTTGTCCTGTAGGACATGTACTTTTGTGGCCCCTAGGCACTGAAGGCCAGCAGTAAAGTCATGTCATTACGATGACAAAAAGTGGCTCCATGCTTTTCTAAACACACCCATGAGGGATGCTCCTACTCAGAGTCCTGTCCCCCCCTAACATGCATCAACAACATTCTTCAAATTAAAAGTGATGTTTTCCAAAACTGAGGGTTGCTGGAGTGGGGGGTGGGGGGGAAGGGATGGGGTGACTGGGTGATAGACACTGGGGAGGGTATGTGCTCTGGTAAGCGCTGTGAATTGTGCAAGACTGTTGAATCTCAGATCTGTACCTCTGAAACAAATAATGCAATATATGTTAAGAAAGAAAAAAAAAAAAGAAGAAGGTAGCGGGAGGGGAAGAATGAAGCGGGGGAAATCGGAGGGGTGGACGAACCATGAGAGACGATGGACTCTGAAAAACAAACTGAGGGTTCTAGAGGGGAGGGGGGTGGGAGGATGGGTTGGCCTGGTGGTGGGTATTGAGGAGGGCACATTCTGCATGGAGCACTGGGTGTTATGCACAAACAATGAATCATGGAACACTTCATCTAAAACTAATGATGGAATGTATGGGGATTAACATAACAATAAGATAAATAAATAAATAAATAAAAGGCCGAATACTCTAAAAAAAAAAAAAAAGTGATGTTTTCCAGCGCCACTTACCGAGTCTCTCCTTTTTACCCCAGGCATATGCTATGATGTTGTCATTGTCCGACAAGGAGTCCCTTCATTCTACATCCCACAGTTCTTCCAACGTGTGGCACAGTATGGCAAGGGCTGCGGCGGAATCCAGCGCCATCCAGTCCATAAGCCACGTATGACATTACCAAGGTCGACCAGAGTGGGACCAAGTCCAACAGTAGCATGGCTCTTTCATCTAGGACTATTTAAAAGACTGCTGAGCAGAATGCCTTAGAAACCTGAAGGGTCACTCATTTAAAGTCTGGTGACCTTAAACTGAATGCTTAAAAAAAAAGAAAGGAAAAGAAAGAAAGAAAAAAAGAAACTATTTATTCTCGATATTTTGTTTTGCACAGCAAAGGCAGCTGCTGACTTCTGGAAGGTCAATGCAACGTTACTAACGTGATGCGGTGAGAATGAGCAACTTGCGGGCAGGAGGCGTCTTCGGCCGCCCTGCCCTGGGCTGTGGGCGGGCGCGAGGGCGGTGGGGATGGCGGCATTGACACGAATGAACACTCCATAGAAACGGAATTCTTTTTTGTACAAGATCACCTGCCACATGATTGGGAACAGTTGCTTTTTTTAATTACAGATTTGATTTTTTTTCCTTTGTTAAAGTTTTATGTAATTTAACCCTTTGAAGATGGAAGTAGTTGGATGAAATGCACACTCGATTATTATAGAAACTGATAACAGGGAGTCCTCGTTCCCCATTAACTTTTGCCTTCTTAAGTACATTGTGTAAAACTAGGGAAAAAGGGTATGTGTATATTGTAAACTATGGATGTTCCAGCGCTCAAAGAGTTTGTCAGTGAAGTAACCTGTTCATCACCAGTCCCGCTGTACCACTACACTAATAAAACGTTTGCCAGATCCTTGTAATAACATCTTAATTTTAGACAATCATGTCACTGTTTTTTAATGTTTAATTTTTGTGTGTGTTGCGTGTATCATGTATTTATTTGTTGGCAAACTATCGTTTGTTGATTTCAATAGCACTGTTCCAGTCGGCCACTACTTTCTGACGTCTGAGGCACGCCCCTTTCTGAATTGCAAGGACCAAGGTGACTCGACCTGTGTATGGGAGTGCCAAATGGTGTTTGGCTTTTCTTAACATTCCTTTTTTGTTGTTGTTTTGTTTTCCTTCTTAATGAGCTAAATACGAATAGATGCAACTTAGTTTTTGTAATACTGAAATCGATTCAATTGTATAAACGATTATAATTTCTTTCATGAAAGCATGATTCTTCTGATTAAAAACTGTACCCCATATTTTATGCTGGTCGTCTGCAAGCTTGTGCGATGTTATGTTCATGTTAATCCTATTTGTAAAATGAAGTGTTCCAGACCTTATGTTAAAAGAGAGAAGTAAATAACAGACTGTATTCAGTTATTTTGCCCTTTATTGAAGAACCAGATTTGTTTTCTTTTTTTTTTGTTTGTTTGTTTGTTTGTAATCTCATTTTGAAATAATCGGCAAGTTGAGGTACTTTCTTCAAATGCTTTGTACAATATAAACTGTTACGCCTTTCAGTGCATTACTATGGGAGGAGCAACTAAAAAATAAAGACTTACAAAACTGGTTATTTTTCCCACTGTGTGATATTTTTCCTTCTTGTGCAATTTTAGTTTCTCGTAGGGATCCAATGATTTGAAGATATGATGTCTGGGGCCTTGATGCCCTGAGAGATACATGGAATGTCAAACATGTGTGTATTGTTTTGAGATGACATAGGGATAGATCTTGACCCATGGGGAATTGGGACTCTGACTCATTCTTCCGAACTTTCCCCGTGCAGGGCAAAGTCAGGGCTCGTGTGCCACGCTGCAGGGTCCTGGGTCTTACTCCACGTCCACGGCGCCCATTCTAGTTAGGACAGACAGCGACCTACTGTTTTTCTACTCAGCTTTACATAGTGCATCCTAAAAGTTGTGATGATTTCTTTTTTTTTTTTTTTTCAAAGATTTTATTTATTTATTCATGAGAGATAGAGAGAAAGGCAGAGGGAGAAGCAGGCTCCCCGCAGAGAGACTCGATCCCAGCGGGACTCGATCCCAGGACCCTGGGATCATGACCTGAGCCGAAGGCAGACACTTAACCGACTGAGCCACCCAGGTGTCCCAGTTGTGATGATTTCAATTTTTGTTTTTAATTACACAAATACTCTTAACTGATTCATGAGACAAAAAAAAATGAACAAAACCGTTTAACTTTTCTATCTTCCTTCTAAGTCTCTGTCCACATGCAAAATACCATTTTTTACGGTTGTAATCCGAGTGGAGACATAATGTTGTGTTTTCTTTCTTTACTGTGACAGAAGAATGTCGAGGCATGTTGTTACAAATTCTTCAAATTAATAATTTAGCAGTTGCCCCATATTCCTTCAGGTTTGATATGCTATAATTTCTTCAACTATTTCAATTTTGTTGAAGATTGAAGCTTTCTGATATTCACTAATGCAAGCAGTGGAATTTTAATTTTCATGCACAAAATTGATTCTGTGTGTTCATGTATGTACATGCAGTGGTGAAATGTGAAGAGTGGCATTTCCATAGGATAAATTCTCTGATTGGGGAGCAATTATGAATACTTTTTGCTCCTTAAATATAATGTCGATTGTTTTAGAATATGGGAATTTCAATTTTGGCTAACTATAGAGGTTTTAACAAGGCCTGAAGAATAAATAAGTATGATACCTACAAATAGGTCCAAACTAATTTCTTCATTCATTTACTCATTCTTAGCCACATGGCCAGATACAAAGAGAATCCCCCCCCACCCATTCTTCCTAAATGTCAGTAGTATAGGAATTAAATATATAGGGTATAAATATAAGAATTAAATATATAGGGTATAAATATTGATTTTTTAAAATAGAAAGTGTGTACAAGGAAAAGCATTCAGGAAATCTACGTAAGCTATAAATCTGATCTATAAAGAAGGAGAAGAAGAATCTAGTATTGGGGACATAAGAAAAGTGGGGATCTGGAACATGCTGTACATTTTTCTTTCTTTTAAAGAGTATACCTATAAATTCGGCAGCCGTTTGAATACTCTCAATGCTACTAAATTCTTGTTAGGCTTTGAGCATAACATTTCAGTTGTTTGCTAATACTTAGTCCCTCCGAATTCCAAAAAGGCTTTCAAGCCTTACAGTTCTGCTGTTTTTTTCCATTCATTTCGCCAGCAGTCCTCCACCACGTGCCCCTGTGGGGACTGGTGAGATACGGTGGAGACAATATTGGATTTGGAAACCCAAGGCCTGGGTTTGAGTTCTGGCTCCGCCGCTTCACTGGCTTTGAGGTCTCGGGCAAGTCACATACCTCTCAAAATCTCATCTATGAAACCGGGGTCATAATACTTGCTTCTGCTGCTACTGCACTGGATTTCTGTGAATGTCCAAAAATCAAAATACGGTTTTGGAAATATTTGGTAAGAGTTCTGTCCAGGCAAAGTATTATAGAATTTTCATGGTAGTAATTAAGGAGACATAATATCTGCATGTATCTACCATATGTGTATACATATGTGTATCTACAGACACCATGCTAAGAGAAAAATTTTAGGATGTGACAGAAATCTACTTTAGACTATACAGAAGTAGATGTGGATGTTTTCTAGAAAAAAATGTTAAGAGATTATTTCTTGAACAAATATGTATCTTTGAAAAATAAAGCTCAGCCCTTTGAAAACATAAGTTTTCAGTATAATTGTTGAGAGCTCTCAAAAAATTTAAGGACAGTCAAGAAAGCATCTTCAAAGAGTAAGCACCTTCATATTTTTATTTTCAGATAATGTCCATCAACCAACCTTATTTCTGTACAGAATAAATGAGTTCTCCATTTTTTAACTGCCTCTTCTGTCAGTGTCCTGCTGGGAATGGGCACGTCCATGACCTCAGTTAGTTACTACGGTGGGCCTGAAATAGGCAGCATTTCTCCTGTTTCACAGATGAGGAAACAGGAGCTCGGAGAGTTTAAGGACCTCGCTCGAAGGGAACGAGCTGGGAACTGGCTGGCTGACCTTCCAGGGGTGTCTGGCTCCTTAGCCCACTCTTAGCCAAGAGTCTCAGACCTCCTGATTTAGGCACAGCTAACGAAAATCCAAAAAGGAATGTTCCAAATCAAAGAAATATGCCCACAGAGAGTGAAGCTGTCAGGGATGTGAATGTGCCCGGGAGACACTTAGGCGTCTGAGTCTTGGCTGTAAAGAGTTTGAAAGGTGAGTGCCAAGCACTGGGTTCCAAGCTTTTTCTATTCAGGTTATCTCAAGTCAGAACCAGCAATACCAGTGCTTTTTTGAATGATCCTAAATGCTTCCTTAATGAGAGAAGAACCTCAGTAATCTTGTTTGCAAATTCATAGCAGGTGGCTTGAGTTTCCTCCTTACCCTTTTGGAAAAAAAAAAAATGATTTACCCCAAACCTACATTTTGAAATTATTAACATGGAATGAATTAAGCCCTTTCTAAAATGGTTAGCAGACTCATCATGAGAGAAAGCAAATGTAGAAGCAAGGGCAGTTAAGAAGTTTGGACAGCCAACAACAACAAAAAAAGAAGTTTGGAGAGCCAGGCAGCTCTTCCCCCAGAGATTTAGGCTGGGGTTTAATTGTCTATTGTATTTCACAGAACCCATTTCTGAATATAAGAGGCTGTCCTCGGTGCAACATTTATTTAGAAAAAGGATGTAGGATGGCTAATATATATATAAAAAAAAAAAATCCAGAAACTAACAAAGGCTGGTGAGAGGGTGGAGAAATTGGACGCTTTATACACTGCTAGTGAGCATGTGAATTGGTCTGGGCACTCTGGAAGGGCTTCCAGACAATTAAAAATAGAACTACCCTATGATCCAGTAATCCCACTTCTGGGTAGATACCCAAAAGAAGTTCAAAGCAGGGTTTCAAAGAGATATTTGTACACTCATGTTCACAGCATCAGCGTTCACAGGAGCTGAAGAGCGCAAGCAGCCCCAGATGTCTGTTGATTTAAACAAAATATGGTGTCTGCTATACGGTGGAATATTATTCAGTCTCAAACAAGAAGGAAATGCTGACATATGCTATAGCATGGAGGAGATGATGCTAGGTAAAATAAACCTTGAGGAGATGATGCTAGGTAAAATAAGCTAGTCGCAAAAAGACAAATACTGTATAATTCCACTCATATGAAGCACCTAGAATCTTCAAATAGAGGTAGAGAGTAGGATGGTGATCACCAGCAGCTGGGGGCAGGAAGAAATGGGGAGTTGTTTAATTGAGGGAGAGTTTCAGCTCTGCAAGATGAAAAGAGTTCTGGAGATTGGTTACATAACAGTGTGAATGCACTTGCCACTGCTGAATTGTAACTTTAAAAGGGTTAAGAGAATAAATTTTGTGTTAAGTATATTTTACTATAATTAAAAATAAAAATAAAATCCTGCTCTATCCACATGGTTCTTTAAGCTGAAAGAATCTAATTCTGTTTAACTCAAGCAGAGAAGCAAATTGCCAGGGAGATATGGGAGAACTCATAACAATTAGAGAGAAAGGTAGGGAATCAGGCCTAGGACCTAATCTAGAACCAGTGAGCAGGCAATAGCAGGAACGCATGCGCCACCACTTAGGCTGTTATAATCAAGATGAATCAATTACCACTATGTTCAGTCTTTCCTGTCACTCAGTATCCAGATTAAAATTCTAGGGGTAGACCATTAAATTGGTGCTACTTGAAACCCTACTTGATCAAGAGCACCATTGAATGCATCTAAAGGTATGGGGTACAAAAGGCCAGTTCCCACATAACTAAATTGAGAAGCTCCTCACATATAAGTGGGAATGAACGATGGATGTCAACAACCACACATCATACCACTTGATGATAGGAAAACTAACAAATATGTAAGGAACAATACTTTCAGGGAAGGACACAGGATTTGGTAATTTTAAGGGTCATCAGATAAACTGATAAGCATGTACAAAATTAGGACTGCTCCAGAAATTGAAGGACCTACAATCCTCACAGGAATAATTATTCCAGAAAATTCTTGACGTAAAGATGGTTGTTATTGTGTGTGTGTGTGTGTGTGTGTGTGTGTAATGCTTCAGTCATGACTCTTACTGACAATTCTACCAAGACTGGCAAAAAATTGTAGCCAAGTAGCCATGGGTTAACCAGAATTTAAGCAGACTGATTCATAAGAGGATCTGCAAATTTTTATGGGATGCATACAATAATCATGGTCAGTAAAAACCTGAAGTGTTTGAATCAAAAGCATTCAGTCAATTAATGTCTAGAAAGGAAACCAGGAACCACTCTAAATATTTAAAGCAGAGAAGGATTTAATGCAAATGGTTACATATAAAAGCACTGGAAGCTCTGGGAAAGCAAAAGGAAGAATAGAATGCAAACTGGAGACCAGGAAGTGGCCTGCCCCTCCCCCCTCCCCACAGAGTCAGGGAAACATGGCTGCTGCCACACCAGCTCATAATTCGCCTTCACTGTCGGTGCCGAAACCCTGGTGCTGCTACTCGGGAAGGCGCCCTTCCTGCTGCCCTCTCACCTCCCACCAGTGCCTTCCACCACACCTCACTAGAAGCCAGCTGG